AATCAGTTTTGCACTGCTCGTTACAACGCTTTGCGTTTGTTGGTTGCTGTTGTGCCTCACTGAATGGAAAGATGCCAGTGTTTTGACAATGAACGCTATTTCAGATTACTTCATGTTCTTATTAGCATCTTTTTACGCAACATCGTTGCCTGTTCCGCACCTAAATAGGCGCACACTGACCCGAACTATCGTGTACTGTTCCTGGTTACTCGGCATAATACCACTTTCGAACTATTTTCGGAGTGAGCTAACGTCAAGGCTGAGTGTCGCCGCTCCTCTGCACGCTCTAGACACGCTACCGAAGCTCGAAGAAGCATTAAATATGCGTAAGGTTGCCCCATGCGTGGTCACCGGTGGTTTGATGTATCACGTGGTTGCGAAAAACTACTCGAATAGTAGGCTTCACAACAAGCTCCGTTTGGCCTTTCAAATGAATGGCAACTCATCTAATCTTATCACAAAAAACGCGACCAGTTGCCTGGCATGCGCTCGACGAAACGACCGCGTCTGTTTTGAATACAAGTGGCCGGAATGCGTCACGAGAACAGCGCAGCAAGGAATCGTCGAGTCTAGGGAGAGGCTAGGCTTGCTCATGCTGACAACTGTGGTTCGCAAGAATTACCCGCACGCGAAAGCATACCATACCTTCATTCGCCGAATACTGGAAACTTCTTTGCTACAACCACCGAAACAGTTATTTGTATGCGAGTTTGGTCACAGAACCAAGCGTGACACAAAAATGGAGGCTTACTACCAGCAGTTTTCAGATTTTTCTTTCTTCTTCACATTTCTGGCCACGTCACTCGGCATTGCTACTGCTGTCTTTCTCATTGAGTTAGTGACTGGATTCCGGTACCCAAGACAACAAAATTCATAGTACTCCAGTTGCGGTTCACCGTGTTGTCACTTCTTTATTAATTTAACCGATGAAAACTCAAATGCTCATCAAGGGCACTGACGATTTATATAAACGTCCTTTGGGCAGTAAAAATACGCCTTGTGTTCAGGGACGAAGCCAGAAATTTCTTTAGGGGGAGGGCACCTCTTAAAATGGTCATTTTTCGCTCTGCATGCCATGGCAAAAAATACCTGGAGGACAAGAGGGGGGGGGGGGGATAGGGGTGGCACGTGCCCGGTGTGCCACCCACTAGGTACGCCCCTGCTTGTATTCTCTGAGACAGCCGACAGCCCTTTCGATGTGTGAAAGTTTCACAGTTGGCTAGCAATTAAGAATCATTTATGCTGCGAACGTTAATTATAGATGAAGCGCGTCAAGAAGCGCCAAAGCAAACCGAATGCTTATATCACAGCAAAGAAAAAAAGACTGCAAACTGAAACACAGTGTTAGCACATCACTCGACTTCACGGAACGACTATGGCCTCGCATAAAATAAAGCAGTCGCAGTGTCTACGAATGTTATATTTAATGTTCTAAAAGCAACAAAGAATTCTTCAATGAATCAGAAGAATGCTCTAGGTGTCGAACTTTGACTTTTTCAATAGGTATCTCTCCAGGTTATCATGATGTAATGTTTTGCTATTTTTCCTCGGAAGGATGGGTATTTTCAAAATAAGAACTCGCGTTACACATGTAGTTCACAAAAGGTTCTTCTTCACCTTGTGCACTCTCAGATTACCTGAATAAAGCGTTTTTGGGGGACACACGACTTTCAGGACCTGGGATGCGCAGATGGTTTCAAGTTTGCTTTGTGCCCACCACTGCCACGTTTCATGCAATTTGTCATTTACCGCATCTGGCAGCCACAAATTTAGGCTTGCAAATATTTATTATGCCGCAAATACTTGCAAGGTATAGGCCTATTCGCATGCGGGGATTGAAATATGCTTACGCAAACATGCTAGACGAATCATGTATGCATGCTGTCTTGGTATCGAACATTCGCGAAGTGTCTCATAGCTTTCACTTGTACGTACTGCTTTTATTGCATTCTGAAATTCCGTGAATATAACAGCCTTTGTGTCGTTTGTTGAGTTCATTTATATTCTTTGCAATGTAAAAGCTTACTCTGCGCGATTTGTTCTGTAGAAATCGTAATTTGTGCTGTTCAGAAGTAGTTTTTTTCTCTTGCGAGGACACAGTGGTGTATTGACGTTTGGCACAGCCAAATTGTTCCAAAAACTGTCACTTTGGGACTTCATTTCCCACATACTCGTTTACCTTTGGGCACCTTGTTGACCGATGGAATAAAGTGCTTGGTTTTCTTCGTCTGTGCGTACTGGCTGTTCTTTTTGCTATTCTAAAAAGCTGTGTTAGACACATTAGTGCGATTCCTTTTCTGAAATGAAGTCTGCCTAGAGTCAGTTTGCCACTGAGTTCCAAGCGCTGGCGTAGTTCAGTGGTACGATACTGGGCGTGCACGCAGGTAACAGCCCATTGTTTTCTTGGTGTTTTCATTTTACTTAATATGTTCTCACTTTGCGCAATAGTTTTTTGTGTTTTTGTGTTTTCTTGTACATTTCTGTCAAGATGTTGGGATAGTCTTAACATATTTTTTCGAATATATATATATATATATATATATATATATATATATATATATATATATATATATATATATAAAAGGTAGTGGTTACGGAGATCGGCGGTGGTGGTGGCGGACGACTACGGCACATGCGACTCTTGTTGTGATCACATAACAGGTTTTGCTGTAACGTACTGTTTTTATTGTCGGTGCCATCAGTTGTTAAAAAAAGTAATCATGCTGTTGGTGCCTGGAAAGTCGAGAAAGATGCAAATGAAGTAAACAATAAAAATGTTCATTTCCCGAGTTTGAATCGAATCCACGTTGTCGGCATGGAAAGCAGGAATTGTGATGGAGAGCAACACAATTTATCAACACTGTTTAAAAAAGAACAACTATAAAAATGCTACGAGTGGCATGAGTATTCCCAACACTTAATAATGCAGAATAGAAATGTAGAATTGCGTCTGCCGTTAAAATATCAGAATTACGCGACGAGTGCGTGTTTGAAAGGCCTACCCATTGTAAAGCGTTCAAACGTACTCAGTAATAACCATGAGCATCAACAAAAGCAACAATGCAAACAGCTGCGCCATCTCGCTTACGCGAAGTGGGCATTTGGCTGATTCTCTATAGTTATGACTATGGGGCAGTTAAAAACTGTTCTTGCAGTGGACATTCTAGGAGAGATAGAAATAACTAATGTTACGTGCTGACTCGTTTATTTGATTACGGCACGGTTGAGGCACGCACCTATAATCGGAACGAGGACGGCTGTTAAGAGGCGTTGCGCACAAGTCTCGAATACGCTATCACGCAATCGCAACGACGCAATCCATTGAAAATGAAGCTCAATTGTCCTCAATTTTTCGACAGAGCATGACAGCTATAATGCTTCCTGTTGCCTCGAGGTAAAGCTGGCGATAGCGTCTACGGGAGCAGCAATACACCGCACCTCAGCCAGCATGAGAATGATGCGTAGTACATAAACTTTTAGCAGCGTTATTTAGCCTTAATGCTTCCTGTTGCCTCGAGGTAAAGCTGGCGATAGCGTCTACGGGAGCAGCAATACACCGCACCTCAGCCAGCATGAGAATGATGCGTAGTACATAAACTTTTAGCAGCGTTATTTAGCCTTCGTTTGGCTCCGTGTGGCTTTTAGTCGCCTTGCCGCAAAATAATGTTGAGCACATACTGAACACTTCCACACCAATATCATCTTTTTAGGCTCACGAGATCGCATTGGCTCCCGACGTTAACAATTTGTTGTTCCTTTTTTAATCGAAACAAACGCCACAACACTGCATTAAAGAAAGACAAGTAAGTTTGAAGTCACCAGCATGAAATTAGACAAATTTGGTAACTACCCGCATTTCTCACGGTAGCTGAACGATCGCATCGCCAGAATTCTTTTACTTATTTATTGTACGAAACTTTGCGTTTAGAGCCAACGAGGCTCACCACGTAGGTCTCAGGACAGCATTGTAATTTAGTGTAGGTTTTACCCTGTGCCACTTCCATCCACTCTCTGTAGAATATATGGCGCCAAAAATGTCAACACTTATTCATAAACTGGCTGAGTAGTTTGCTTACCTTACATTAGTGACGTGCTTTAGCTGAATTATGAGCGTAAGTAAGGTACAGCAGCATCACAACTTAAATCAAACCTGAAGTTAGATGAAACTCGGGTTACGTAAGATTGTGATGGATGTGCATCATCATTGTTGAAATCATAACCTGTTCGGTAAGAAAAGAGTAGACAAGACCATTGAAACTCCTAGAGATTTACAAATATCTCATATTTAATTTGTAAACATCTTGATTAGGGCTCCATTATTCTAAATCAACATAAGTATGTGAGCTGTACAACCTAAGCAATCACCACAAAACTGCGTCCCGCAGCAGAAAATGCGTTCTGAAGATAAGACGTGTATTTGCTGAAAACACCGTATGCGTACACTATCTATACTTTAAGTTTTTGCGAAATTTCAATAACAGCTTATGCAGTGCTGTGACGTCGGAATCTACGCCAAACATAGAAATTTTCATACATCTTGTGAAATTTCAGATTTTAAGATAAAAGCAAATGGCTTTTACATCTCAATTTTTTCATGCTTGATGTACCACATGTAAACCACACAGCAAAGTCAGAACAAGGCACTGCACAATAAACATAAGCAATATTTGAAAGCAAGTATATGCTAAAATGAATTATTGCGCTTCTTTTTGCAGTTCGTTTGAATCCTGCTTATTAAAAACTGATAACTTCGGCGTTTACGGAGTAGGCATATTCCTTTTTTAGTTATGAGAGCTCATTCCCGATCCTTCCTGCCCAAGCATATATCAATCTCTCTATGTGTGATCACTAGTACGCTGGTAATTGGCACCAACTTCCACATACAATTACAACTACCGGCCTATAAGTTCCAGCTAAGAACGTCTGCTTTAACGTTTATGGGATAACACGGCGGACTATCAAGAAGCACTATTTTTGGCCGTAAAGTGACACGCATATACTCAGTGTTCTTCAGCGTGCTCACTAACGCGTATGTGCTTCACGAGTGCAGGACGCCGCCCGAACGCTTTCTGGCACACGTTGCACCGGTGTGGGTTTTCATTGGAGTGCGTGATCAGGTGACTTCGCAGGTGGTACTTCTGGATGAAATTGGCGGGACAAAGGTGGCAGGCGTGCAGCCTCTCGAGCGAGTGGTTGCAAACGTGTCCACGAAACTTCCCTTTGGCGGCGAATTTCATGCCGCACAGGAGGCACCCGAATGGCACCTGGCGCTTGTGACTGGCTGTGTGCACCGTCAGTCCGTACTTGCTGACGTAAGCTGCTGGGCACAAGCTGCAAGTGTACGGCCTCTCGCCCGTGTGTCGCCGCATGTGGTTTATAAGGAGGTTGTTGCGAGTAAAACGCCTGCCGCATACGCCACATGTAAAGGGCTTCTCTCCCGTGTGCATGCGCTCGTGGCGCTCCAAATTTTCCCTTCGATGAAACTTGTTGCCGCACACAGCGCACAAATAACGTTTTTGATCGCTGTGCGTGCGAAGGTGCCTCCGCATGGACCTTTTGCTACCTAGAACTTTTGACAGTCTACTGGTAACCAGTGGCCATTGAGTTCTTCTCTTTCGTCTCCACTCGGGTAGCTTTCGTCCGTCTGTGTGACCTGCAGTTACAGCAATTTCAAGAATTTTAATTTTCACTGCTTTATCAGAAGTGCATATACGCGAGTGTAGTCAAAAAGGCGAAGTATATTTGTTAAGAATATTATATTTAGTCCGAAAGATGTACATATTCTTCTGGTCAATAGGAAGAATCACTGAAGAAAGCGCGCGAGGGAGACCATAATTAAATGGTCTTAATATTGGACGCTTCTATCTCGCGCACAATTCCGTTTGCACTGCTCAAGCAGTACCTTCCTCACAAAGCTTTCTGTGAGACCTTTGGGGGGGGGGGGGTTATTTATCGTCGCCTTTGATCAGTCACGCCTTGGACATATTGCAGTGACTTCTTGAATTGCCATCTGAATGCAGGACTCAGAGCACCTCCGTGAGTGAACTAGAAGTGAACATGGGTATTTTATAGTACGTCGCAAGTGTTCGATGGACATCTTACAACGTAATTATTGTTTTCTTCTATTTTTAACGACTAATCGCTCTTTATGGTGTGCACTAAATCAATCCGTAGGAGCGATGCGGTGCGTAACTAGTGTTAACTAGTTTGGTCACAATCAACAGTAGCATTGTTTCAATAGAACCATACATATGCGTAAGAAAACGTGTCATAGTAGACTCATCCGAGAAAACTGGGCAGTGTGCGATAATGTTGAACAGCTTGAACAGGCTCACACCAAAGGTAATCCTCTTGTAATGTTGAGGCATGTGGCTTCTTGGCGATTGAGCCTATAAAGAACACGCTACCCCCAACTGTACAGTCTGCACCTACTAGGGTAATAGTGCGCTAGTCTATCTGCACCACTGGCACGAGCATATATGGCTGCACCACTGGCATAATACAAATGCCACTTGGCTGCACCACTGGCATTATTTACAAACGCAATTTGATATCAGCTCGACAACTAAAAGGTCGCCGAGAAACTGCTGTATGCCATTAGGCCATCGTTTTAGGGGTGAAGCTCCTTACGCCACGGGTCGTTCCGTCCACTGTAGTAGTAGTAGTAGTAGTAGTAGTAGTAGTACTACTACTAGTAGTAGTAGTAGTAGTAGTAGTAGTACTTGCATGTAGTCACCTCTAGTTTATAATTTGCATAATAGGTGACGTTTTGTGTATATGTTTGGGTGAATAATATACCTAGATGGCAATAGTGGTTTTGACAGCATATTCACCGAGTGAATTATGATGAGTAGGGTGAAGCGCACGCCAGTCTGTCTGTCCGTACATGCTTCCCTCCGTCTGCCCATCCATCCGTTCTTGCGTCGATCTGTGCTTCCTTTCGTGCTTCTATGCATCCATGCACCATCCATCCATGCGCAATTACATTTGTGCGTCCATCCTTCCGTGCTTTCATCCGTCCCTTCTTAAATCCATTCGCCCTTCTGTGTGTCCTTGCATCCGTCACTGCGTCCATGTCTCTGTCCGCCCATTTGTCCGGGTGCGCGGACGGACAGACGCATGAACGAGTGAACAGACGGACTGACGGATGTACAGACGCTTCACCCCACTGATTTTCATGTATACTCCGTGGATATGCTGTGATTTTATGACGATAGCAACAGTTACGAAAGGCGTTGAGATTGGTACCGGAATAGCGGGACCATCTTTAACTTGGAGTTTCAGCGTAAGCATTCTTTAAATAACAGCGCCTTTTCAGGAAATGAGCATCAGAAAGCGATAAAAGAACAAGAGTGCCGAAATATGCATTTACAATACATTTACACATGGCATGATACATGGCTGAAGGTCATTACTCGCAAGATAATAAAGATATTAAATTGCAATCACTGGTACGAAGAGTACCTATTTATCTTAACCAATACAAATCTTTACAAAAATAGTCTGACAGTGTCCTTTTCGTCACCTTGGCGCACACAACAAATGCATTGGCGGAAATTATTTTCGTCGAAAATGTGACACTGAAGCGACTGAGTACTAAAAGTTGTTAATGAACTTTTACAGCGATAGAAGTTGTGAGATCAGAAAACAGGTCACGAGCGGCGCCGTATTTGTTTGCCGTCACTGCCGCCGTTGTTCGAAACCAATATAACAAGATATATTAGGAAAACTTTGTAAATTTAAAAAACGTATTGACCTATTGGTAGTGAAACCTATAGGCTTGCTGCGTGCCAGCCAAGTATCTTGCCATTGAGCCACGCCGGCGCTTGAAACTCGTCCCAAAACTTGCCTTAGGCAGATTTGAAGTCGAGAAAGGAATGGCACTAATATGAGTAATAAAGTGTTTTAGAACATCAAAGGATCATCCAGGTGTCACACTATGCGAATTGCGTTAAGAATGGGTTGTTCAACGATCCATCTCAGTATAAATGCTCGTTCTTGTTCACTATTACCTGTGGCGCATGCCCACTGTAGGCAGCAATCATCATTGTCGTAAGCCACTGCGTAAAACTATTGCATAGTATTCTTGGCAGGTGTGCAGCAGATACCATGCTACTCCGAAGATTGATCAAGGATTGCACAGTGAATGCCTGCCTGCTACACAAAAATTATCATTTTTAGGGCTTAGTGGGTACCGATCAGGTGTGATTGTAGCAATTGCCCAAAAGATTTTAAGAAAAGACTCTGTGAAGCCACATTTTTAGCTTTCGCTGTGACAGTGCTGCAAACCTGGCGTGTTATAAATTTTGAATCCCAACAAATACATCTTTGGGAAAGTATTATAAGGCATTACAGAAAATGTCATACGACTTCCAACACAAAGCTTGAAATGTTGCACGTATATATAGATTTTTATGATCGGATTTCAACGATGGTATCGGAAACTGACTGTGTATGGCGCGTACAAAACGCTGCCACTCTGTTACACCATACCAGAACTATTCATGACAATAAAGTGACAAATTTTGAATGAAAGCGCGTTGCTGCAGTGGTAATTTTCAAATAGAAGCTCCAAACACTTCGTGGCCTGAAGGAAGTAGTATGGGACACCTGAACAGCGTTTAGATTTCGCTTTGGGCACGCTATTTTTCAGAGGCTCTGGGGCACCATAGGTGCCTGAAAGCCTGTCCCAAAAGCTTTGCTTCAAACAAACGTGGGGGCATCAATTCAAGCAACTGCGAAAACTAAACTGATCATTTTACGCTTAGCGTGAACTAAATACAAAACGCCTATTCAATTCTTGTATCACATACACGGAGCAAACAATCGCTTTAATATAGTTCTTGTCAATTTGATAGGTCGCAAGCTTGTGTGGCAAGAAGTTTCATTGTTTTGACTGATGACGGCAAAAAATGTGGACCCAGAGAGCCGACGACTATTCCCAGCAATGTCATCACCTACACTTCCTAAAAAATATTAGTGAATAGGTGTACCGAAATGCCAGGCAGATTATTCTTCTGGCCACTTTCGCAGCGCTGGCGCGAGACCGAAGAGAAAGCGTCATACTTTATTCGAAAAGTCGAACGTCCTGTCTAAATCGAACCCAGCCGAAGCAAAACTCTTGGAAGTCTCAGTATTTTGGGACCCCTGTTCTAATGACCCAGTATATGCCATGAAAAGTGACAAATAATCTCACTTGCGCTGACTGCGGCGCATTTTTTTCCCTAGTTAGGAAAACATATAACGTGCCTCTTTAACAGTAATAACATGTTGCCAGCAAAAATTTGTTATTACGCTTCTGTTTCGATACAATGTAAGGCATGGATCATATGCCCAATCACTGAATTTTTATGGAAGCGTACGAAGAGTTATAGAAAGTGTACAACGAGTCAATGCGAAGTGCATTGACTATTGTTGTTCAATCTCCATGTTCCCAAGGGTGTACCTGACCAGTTCGAAGAGTTTTGCATCCGCTAAGCATAGAAACTGTATGAAAACGTGTTCCTGAAATTCTGTTACCCCCTCACGAGTGCACGATTAGTGCAGCATCTTCTCCAAGTACGATGCGGGATTTGCAAAATGACATTATTACGTCGGCGAAACGGGTACTGAAGGAAGGAAAGGTTAGACGGCAGGCGCGTAGCCAGAAACGTATTGGGGGGGGGGGGAGGTGGAAGGGAGACAGGGTAGTACAAGAATGTGTTTTCTATATTCGTGCATGCACTTGTAGGTGTGCTTTTATAAATATACAAGCCTAACTGAAAGTATTTGGGGAGAGTCAGTTTGCCCTCTCCCTTGGCTACAGCCATGTTAGAAGGAGCATGGTCCACACTGCTGGTGAAGGCATAGCTTTCATCTCAACAGTGTGACGACGCTGCCTCATGAAAGGAAGCCATAGCGGAGGGGAGTGGGAGGACTTCTGGAAACGTTAGCAACGTCATTTGTGACTGCTACACTGATCGACCTATAAACAATTTTCCTGTATTTGTGGCCACTGTTCTGTGACGATGCCACCAGCATAGGGCGTGAAAAGTAGTTTTTGTAAACTATTGTGTGAAGTCGAAGTAGAACTATGAGAATCAGTTGAACAGAGGTTTTAAAAATTGTTTTGCTGTTTCACGGCCTTTGCTTTTCAGCCGTTTCGCGTTGCTGTTTCCCAGCCGACTGTTGAACCCCATTAGCTGGGAGCCTCAGAAGAAGGAAATCACCTCTAATGCTACGAGAACAGAGCTTTAAGCAGAACTTCAAGTGAATATATATATATATATATATATTCAAATAGAGGTGTTGTACGTCGAAAAAGGTTCAGACGCAGCTTGGCAAAATATGCTTTATCAGGCAGGTCTGACTAATGGCGAGCGGCGTGCGC